TATTTTACGATTAAAAACACCAAAGACCGTATACTATAGTACACGTATTATGGACAAAATTGGTTGAACGTCCTAAAAACTTTTTCACCTTCAAAATCACCAAATACCGTATGCTATAGTACACAGGTTTTGGACAAAATTGGTGGAACGTCCAAAAAACTATATCACGATGAAAATCACCAAAAAGGTATGCTATAGTTCACAGATTTACGGTAAAATTGGTGAAAGTCCAAAAAACTTTTTCACGATCAAAATCACCAAAAATTGTATGCTATAGTAAACAGATTTTAGGTAAGATTGGTGGAACGTCCTAAAACCTTTTTCAAGATGAAAATCAGCAAAAACTGTATGCTATAATAGTACACAGATTTTGGGAAAAAATCGTCGAACGAACAAGAAATTATTCCACGATCAAAATCACAAAAAAATGTATGATATAGTACACTGATTTTGGGTAAAATTAGTGATACGTCCAAAAAACTATTTCACAGCCAAAATCACCAAAAACTGTATATTATAGTACACAAATTTATGGTAAAATTTGTGGAATGTCCAAAAAACTTTTTCACAATCAAAATCACCAAAAACTGTATGTATAGTACACAGGTTTCGGGCAAAATTGGTGGAACATCCAAAAAACTATTTCACGATCAAAAGCGCCAAAACATTTATGCTATAATTCACAGATTTAGGGTAAAATTGGAGGAAAGTCCAAAAAACTTTTTCACGATCAAAATCACCAAAAACCGTATACTATAGTACTCATATTTTGGGTGAAATTGGTGAAACGTCTAAAAAAAAATTTCACGATCAAAATCACCAAAAACTGTATGCTGCAGTAAACAGATTCTAAGTAAAATTGGTGAAAAGTCCAAAAACCTTTTTCACAATCAAAATCACCAAAACTTGAAGGCTATAGTACACAGATTTTGTGTAAAATTGGTGGAGCCTCCAAAAAATTATTCACGATCAAACTCACCAAAAATGTTATGCTATAGTACACATATTTTAGATAAAAATGGTTGAATCTAAAAAACTATTTCACGATTAAATTCACCAAAGACCGTATACTAGTACACGTATTTTGGACAAAATTGGTGGAACGTCCTAAAAACTTTTTCATGATCAAAATCACCAAAAGCCGTATGCTGTGGTACACATATTTTAGGTAAAATTGGTGGAACATCAAAAAAAAAATTCTCGATCAAAATCAGCAAAAACTTTAGTACACAGATTTCATGTAAAATTCGTTGAACGTCCAAAAAATTATTTCACGATCAAAATCACAAAACACTGTATGCTATATAGTACACATATTTTGGGTACAAGTAGTGAAACGTCCAAAAACCTAATTCACGGCCAAAATCACAAAAAAACTATATACTATTACAAATATTTTTGGCAAAACTCATGGAACGTCCAAAAAACTTTTTCACGGTCAAAATCATCAAAAATTGTATGCTTTTAGTGCACAAATTTTGGGTAAAATTGGTGGAACGTCTTCAAAAAACCATTTCACGATCAAAATTACCGAAAACTATATGCTATAGTACACAGATTTTGGAAAAAAATGGTGGGACATGCAAAGAATTATTTGACGATCTAATCACAAAAAAACTATATGCTATAGTACACAGATTTTGGGTAAATTTAGTGGAACATGCAAAAAATTAATTCACGATCTAAATCACAAAAAACTGTATGCTATAGTACACATATTTTGGGTGGAACGTCCAAAAAACTATTTCTCGGCAAAAATCACCAAAAACTTTGTACTATAGTCAAGGTTGTAAAAGGCGGTAATCGGGTCCGAGTCGGTCAGGCACCGACTCACGATTAATCGGTGCGGCGGTGATTAATCTGTGATAAATCGGAAATAAATCGGTTTTTAAAATTTAATATAATATATTTCTAAATATTATTTATAAATACTCCAAACATATATAAAAAGATATTTAAACATAGTTATATCTCCATCATGTATAGATCCTAATAACATAATAAAAGTTTAATAATTATAAGATCATAATACATAAATATCCTTATAAAAAATAAATAAAAAAGCAAAATTTTTGAATTAACATTTATTCAGTTCTTTAACAATCATAATTAACATAAATAAAATAAGGCATAAACTCATATTTTCTTTTATTAAAATTCAACTTTTATTTTGAATTATTAAAAAAAAAAAACCGGTTTTTGACCGATTTTTGCAACGGAGTTTGATCCGCCTTAAAGGTTTGACCGCCTCAAACCGCCTCGGACCGCCTCAGACCGCCTAAAACTGCCTCACTGGCAAAAAACCGATTTTTCAAACCTTTACACTAAAATCGTAAAGGTTTTGGACCGCCTCGGCCGATTTTTAGAACACTGACTATAGTACACAGATTTTGGATAAAATTGGTGGAACGTACAAAAAAAAATTCACAAACAAAATCACCAAAAACTGAATGCTATAGTTTACAGATTTTGTGTAAAATTGGTGGAGCGTCCAAAAAATTATTTCACGATCAAAATCACCAAAAACTGTATGCTATTATAGTACACAGATTATGGTAAAATTGGTGGAAAGTCCAAAAAACTTTTTCATGATCAAAATCACCAAAAATTGAATGTTATAGTATGCTGATTTTGTGTAAAAGTGGAGCGTCCAAAAAATTATTTCACGGTCAAACTCACAAAAAGTTGTATGCTAATAGTACACAGATTTTGGGTAAATTGGCTGGTGGAACGTCCAAAAAACTTTTTCACGATTAAAATCACCAACTGTATTCTATGTACACATATTTTGGGCAAAATTGGTTGAACGTCCAAAAAACTTTTTCACGATCAAAATCACCAAAAACCGTATTCTATATTGTACACATATTTTAGGTAAAATTGGTGGAACGTCCTAAAACCTTTTTCACGATGAAAATCAGGAAAAACTGTATGTTATAATAGTACACAGATTTTGGGAAAAATTCGTCGAACGTCCAAGAAATTGTTTCACGATCAAAATCACAAAAAAAATGTATGATATAGTACACGGATTTTGGGTAAAATTAGTGAAACGTCGAAAAAACTATTTCACGGTCAAAATTACCAAAAACTTTATACTATAGTACACAAATTTAGGGTAAAATTGGTGGAATGTCCAAAAAACTTTTTCACAATCAAAATCACAAAAAACTGTATGCAAGTACACAGGTTTTGGACAAAACTTGTGGAACGTCCAAAAAATTATTTCACGATCAAAATCGCCAAAACTTTTATGCTATAGTTCATAGATTTAGGGTAAAATTGGTGTCAAGTCCAAAAAACTTTTTCACGATCAAAATCACTAAAAACAGTATACTATAGTACACATATTTTGGGTAAAATTGGTGAAGCGTCTAAAAAATAATTTCACGATCAAAATCGCCAAAAACTGTATGCTATATTAAACAGATTCTAAGTAATGTTGGTGGAAAGTCCAAAAACTTTTTTCACAATCAAAATCACCAAAAACTGAAGGCTATAGTACACAATTTTTGTGTAAAATTGGTGGAGCCTCCAAAAAATTATTCACGATCAAACTCACCAAAAACTATATGCTATGTACACATATTTTTGATAAAATTGTTTGAATGTCTAAAAAACTATTTCACGATTAAAATCACCAAAGACCGTATACTATAGTACACGTACTTTGGACAAAATTGGTGGAACGTCCTAAAAACTTTTTCACGATCAAAATCACCAAAAACCTTGTGCTATAGTACGCAGATTTTTTGTAAAATTGGTGTATCTATTTTAGGTAAAATTCGTCGAACGTCCAAAAAAGAATTCACGCTCAAAATCACCAAAATCACCAAAAATTGTATACATAGTACACATATTTTGGACAAAATTGGTGGAACGTCCAAAAAATTATTTCACAATCAAAATCACCAAAAAGTGTATACTATAGTACACCGATTTTGGACAAAATTGGTGGAACGTCCAAAAAATTATTTCACGGTCAAAATCACCAAAAACTATATACTATAGTACACAAATTTTAGGTAAAATTAGTGGAACGTACAAAAAACTATTTCACGATCAAAATCACCAAAAACTGTATAGTGTAGTACGCAAATTTTGGATAAAATCGGTGGAACATCAAACAAATTATTCAACGGTCAAAATCATTAAAAACGGTATACTATAATACACAATTTTTTGGTAAAATTGGTGGAACGTCCAAATTAATTATTCCACGAACAAAATCACAAAAAAAAACTGTATATTATTATACACATATCTTGGGTAAAATTAGTAAAACGTCCAAAAAAAACTATTTGTTGAAATAGTTAATCTAACACTATTTCACTAATTTTAAAAAGTCGATCAAAATCACAAGAAAACCATTTACCATACTGCAGTCTTTAAATCTATGAGACGTCCAAAATATTTTTGATCTATCAAATATATTGCATAGAAGATATTTATTCTTTACTAGTCAGTAAATAGTTTCTCTATAAATGATTTGACTAAGTTTAAATTAGTCGAACAAAAACGCATAACAATTGTATACACGCTTTTTGTTAAAAGTTGTTTAAATTTCCCAAATCCGTTTTATTATTTATTAACACTAATAGAATATGTAGTATATAATATGGATTATCCATAAGTAGTAAAGAAGTAGTTTATCTAAAACAAACAGCTATGGTAAGTAAATAAAAATATCCGAAGTAACCACCTCTAAAATCATCATATACACCTCAATTTAGGCACAAGATATTAAATTCACACTTCACAAGGATTGGAAAAATCTCAGCCAAAGAACCAAACAGATATATGGCTACAAAAATATTGGCAAACTACCCTACCATGTAAAGGGGGCTCTCACACAACTCTGAATACAGTGATCAATCTGCTATTCATTCGCTGCAAGTGACAATAAAAGGACCAAACAAATTATCTGCAATAATGGTTTCTCAAGTCAATTTAAATTACACCATTTAGTACTTGTGTTGGAAGTACGAAAAAAAACAGAGTAATCAAATGTATCATTGGCACTTATGTGGCTCGGGCGCATTATCAATATTCACATGCTATGGAAAACAAATTTCAGATGGAGAGCATAACTAGACACCACCGTATCACAACGACTGTAAACCCAGAAATTTCACCAACTCAATTCACTTGATTTATTGTCGAATTGCACAATCATTTAAGTATTATCTGAAAGTGGACCAAGGGAAGCACATAAACGGAAGTATTGATTTTTCACTAGAAAATGTTCTGATATCCCAAATCATCTAACTGACACTTAATCTTGAATTATGTAGATGACTGGAAGTACAACTGTTCAAGCTTCAAGTGCATACAATAGTCAAGAAATGCTCTCACCTCTTAACGGCAAAAATTGTTTACGCATTATCATTCACACTTGCGAGCTCAGTTACTTTTCCCACAGCAATAGTTTTCCCTGCAAAACACGAAATCCATTGGGATCTTTCACTTAGAAGGATGAGAAAAGTGAAAGCTACTGAGTATTGTCAACAATGTATCTGTTATTATAACCTTCAGTACGAAGAGTGAATCGTCCCATCTGTGGAAAATCAGAAAACTTTTCGATGCATATCAAGTTGTTAACCTGTTGAGCCCAGCAAAGCCAATGTTAGAAATTAGCTCAAGCAATCACATACAATTTTAGAAACTTCATCTCCATCAGTCATCTTAAGCAAAGACTGGTCGGATCAACTACAATAGAACAAAGTACAGAGAAAATGTGAAGGGAATCATTTCCAAAAACAATGCTTCCCTGAAGTCAGATGGTTTATGCCAGGTGACTCAGATACGTGAAAGAACAAAACAGAATTTTGATATCCCAATAAATATACAGCAAAATATATACTAAAGCTCACCTGAACACGACAGACAATCAAACCACCTTTCTTAACAAAGAGGGGTTTCTTTTTCATAGGTTTTTTGGTTTTCGGATCAATCTGCAGCATCAAATCAACAATCTCACACTCCTCCACAACTGAGTGGATGTGCAAAACCGCCTTATATCCAGCACAAAAAATTGCCTGGGAAGATGGAACACTTAATTAACATTTTCACCTTTGCGTGAGTGGCCAAAAAAACATGTACTACAGACATATGAAAAGGAAAACAAACAGAAATAAATCAAAGTTAAAAACATACGTTGTCCAGCAACTCCAGAATTTGCAAGTGGGCAACAAACTCAAAAACAGCATGAATTGGTTTTGCTGCACATAAAAATACATATCGGTTAGAGAAAAATGTGAACACCTAAAAGGGGAAAAACCAACTTTCATGATTTAGTAAATCAGATTATTTCATTTTTCGAAGGTCGTAACGAATCAAGATAATTATAGCTTTAGTTCAACAAGTTTAACCAACATTTTTTGCATATGGTGCAAAGGTTCAACCTAAACACCTACCAACACTACACAGAACAAAGCCCGTTAAGATATCCTCTTCCTCAATCCCAGAAACTCTGACTCGCAAGTTTTCACCAGGTCCTGCACGTCTCACTTTGTCTTCATCAATGAAAATTGCAAGAACTTTCACCTGAACCTGAAAAGGCATCCAAGTATGACTTAGTATCAACTTTTTTACATTCTACATAACAAAACCTTGCTTTACTGGACTATCAATATGATGAGCACCTTATTTGGCATGATCATCAGATTATCACCTTCACGAACACTTCCAGATTCTATTTTTCCCATTACAACAGTTCCCATGTCTTTAAATTTATCGATAATAGGTAATCTGTCAGAGAAAGTAGATGAATTAGAAGCCAAAACATTGATCAGATTCGTGAATCGGCAAAGAACTAGAAGTATCTCAAGTTCTCTTCTGACCAAATAAAAAGTTTTTAGCAGACAATTAAATGTTCAGCAGACGGAAAAGGAATATTTCGTTTTACAGGGAACTTAAATATGGTAAAAAGTTTAAGTACATCTCTCCAGATTACAAGGAAAAGAATAATACATTTTAAATATTATTTATTAATGAGATGGAAAGCAAAAATAATCGTGTGAAACACATAGAATGATAGAATAACGGAACAAGTGAAACGACCCCTAGCAAAGAACCTGAATACAATTTGCAACTAAGCTAAAATTAAGTAATGATGTATTGACTGAAGAGTTGAGAATGGATATAAGATTAACCAGCATGAGAATACCAATGCTCTTAAGGTTCGTCGTAAATGACAACAATGGGAGACAGAAATCTTAGGGTGTCATTATGCACAAATAATGGACTCGACGAAGAATTGGAAAAAAACGGAACTCGGAAGCAGAATAACAAGGATCCCGGAAGCAGAATAATAAGGATCATACTATACCTCAATGGACCTTTTGGATCACGTAGGGGAACTTCAATAGCATCAAGAGCTTCGAAAAGGCATACACCGTCCCACCATGGACACACACTTTTGTCCAGTCTGGTTTTCATATTTGTCCCCATAAGACCAGATATTGGAAGAAACTGTACGTCTGAAAAATATAATGTCCAATCCACATTCAAAAAAAAAAAATTTTAAAATATATAAGAATAAGTTCCATCACATATAAAAAGGGAAACAACAATAGTTCCTCATAACAAGTTCTCTTAAAGAAAACAAGAACTCTGTATCACTAGTTCAATTATATTTGGTAGTAATTTTAAAGCATGAATATAAACTGGATTAAGTTTTGAAAGGTTCTTTAAATCTAGAGAAGCATGATTTAGTAGTTATAAAGAAGGATCAGCGAGATACACAAACTTGTGACGTACTCTTATTAAAACTATCGAATAGGACTACATGTTATACATAAACTTTCACCAAAAAAAAAACTGTGCTTATTCTCTGCTTAACATTCAGATTTAAGCTTCAGCACCATGATATATTAGTGATATGAATTGCCGTCATACTTAGATTAAGACATCAGCAGCAAATAAAATCGAAGACTTCATCAACAATTTAAACTGCAGAATGATAAAACTGCAAGTACCTTCTAATTTACTAAAAAAAACTTAGTGCTCGGAAATATCTATTTCCTAAAATTTCACATAAATTTTGTGAATGAAATAGATAAATGCCATTTAATTTTACACCAAAGTGCCTCCATTTTGACATAATCCTTCATAGTTTCGAACATTTAAATAAATTTCAAAGATAAAATAAGAAATGATTCCAAATGAGACAATCCAAGCTAGAAACTGAACTCCATACAAGCAATGTTTTGTGAGGAGGTTACCTTTTTTCACATTATAACCCGAAGACCTCAGAAATGTAATCATTTTTGACTCGATCTCATCAAATCTGAAGTTGAAAGATGGCATCAGAATAATGAGAAAACGAAGTCCAAGTTACTGGATGTTGAATTAAAAAATGCAATTAAAATCACCTTTCTTTTGACCATGTAACAGTAGGATCATCCATTTTGTTGACAACAACTAGCAGCTTAGAAACTCCCAAAGTCTTTGCTAGTTGGACATGTTCACGTGTCTGTCCACCCCTCTCATAACCAGTTTCAAATTCTCCCTTGCGAGCAGAAATTACCTAATAGATAGGTTAAAATAAAACTATTATATAGCAGCAGCAAATAATCAGATATTCACCCTAGCGTAGCAAACAATTTCTGACACATCAAAACAACACTTACTAATACACCTATATCTGCTTGAGATGCTCCACTGATCATGTTAGGTACATAACTTTTATGACCCTGAAATCAGAAAAGGCACAAATAAATTGAAATTGAATTCCAAAAGAAGGGGCTGTCCTGAACATAAAGGATAGTAAAATAAAAAGGAAAAGCATTGAAAATATTGTTTTTATCATAAAAAATAGAAAAAGAAGTTAAAAACACATTTCATGCTTAGAAGCGAAGAAACAAAATAGTGAAAACAAATAGTGAATACCGGGGCATCCAATATTGTAAATCTGGTTGTTTCAGTTTCAAAGTGAGCTCTTCCAACTTCAACTGTTTTTCCCTACAGTTTCCAAATAATCACACAGCTCACACAACAAAGGTGTTAACAGACAAAAAACAGAGACCACTTAAGACAACAAACAAATGAATACCTTAGCCCTCTCTTCTTCATTTGTATCCATGATATAAGCCATGTACCTAAGAATTTTAACAAAAAAAAGACAAGTACGTCACTCTTACTAATCTTGATCAAGAAATTTATTTCACAACAATTACAAATGATAAACTGAAAATAGAATGACAGCAGACATCAGCCATCAGACAATAAGGATAGCTATTTGCTTGCTGGCTTCATATAATCTGAAAACTAGTGTTTTTTTAAAGCTTCACTGAATACATTGAATACATCCTATCCTATACATGTATCATAAGATATTATCATCAAAATAATCTCCACTGTTTCAAAAACCCAACAAAAACCTAGTGAATCTGCATCTCCAAATGACTCAATACGATAGATTGAACTGACCTAGTTGAAATGAGTGTTCTATGTCGAAAAAATATTCCATTCAAAACCATCTGTATAATTTCCAGTCATTTACATGGTAATATGACTTCTCATGAAAAAAAGCAATGTTACTCATCAATAAATACCTATAGCTGCAGACATGATAGACAAAATCAAAGAAGCACTCACCAACTCTCTCTGCTTTTTTCTTTAGCTTCTTTTTCATACTTTTGGATGGTACGATCATCAACTTGACCACTGAGGAATAATATTTGCCCACCAATTGTGGACTTCCCGGCGTCTGCAGATCATACAAAGAAACATAATTGTGTTAGAAACTACAATATGCTATCAACCGTCTACATCTAGATCCGGCAGTTTATATTGTTCTGTTTTATTCATTTTCTTTTTATGCTCTTATATGCCTAGGAATAGAGAGAGTAACAAAATAATGTGATTATAAATGTCAAACGGACAACCGCACCCAGTTTTTAAAAGACATAGCAAATCAAAGGTAATGTGTTGCATAGGCAGGCAAAACAGTGAAACTACACAATCAGTGGGTTATAGCCAATTTAAAATACATTTCAGAATGCTCCTGTGTCTTTTTCGAATGTCCATGAAAAATCACTCCATTTCTTATAAATGGAAATTTACTTCCAATTGTAATCTTTAAATAAATAAATTATCTCACTGACACCAACTTTACCAATTAACTCAATTAACTTTGAGAACAGAACTAAACATTAAAAATAATTCCATTTTCCATAGCACTAAAATTGAATATAAAAGACCATTTATCAGGGGTGTAAAAGGACTAAGGGATCAAGGAACTCTTACCGACATGACCGATGAATACAACATTCAAATGTCTCTTTTTTTGGTCGTCCACCACATCTTCAATATCTTCTGCAGGCAAGCTTTCCTTCTCTTTGACTGAATTCAAAACATAAAACCATGAGCACACGTAATTACAAGAAACATATGTTATTTCAATCTGGATTTATTAAAACCTGAAAACCATTATTGATGTGTGGAGCTAAACTATTGTTTCGCTTAGCACATTCGACCAAAGGTCTCTTCAGAATAGCGTACCTTCGATGGCATCTTCTGGCTCAACTTCCACTGGATTTGGGTTCAAATGTGCAACGCCAGTCGAACCTAAAGCCATCGGCGAAGTTAACGTTTGTACATGACACCTTAGAAGCAATGTACTAATAGCAATATACGACATATTTACATAAAACCTGATTCACTCAATTATACATTTAATTAGATGTACGATATCAAGGGCAAGTGTGTAATATCAATATACATATAAAAGTTATATTAATTCCAACTATTTCTTGTCCCAAAAGCAAGAAAATAAAATAAAAAATGTTTTATTGAAGCTTTAGATACTAGAACGAATTAATCTAATTATCAAATGAAACATCATAAATAATTAATTTGAATGGGTAACGATTTTCATCTTTGAAGATGAAATGTAATATTTCACTTTTTTGTCCTTTTTCAAAAAAAAATCAGCAATCATACTCCTTAAGAGACAGATTATAGACAGATTATATAATTTGTTGCAGTGAAGTAATTCATGGCGACATAAGCCAATTATATTTGATCTTAAGAAGAAAAGCACATCGTACTGAATTGTACTCACCTTCATCCGTTCTATCAGAATCGACAACCCCATCAGAACGCGCATCACCCACATCAGTAGTCACGGTGGTATTTTCAACTAGAATAAAAAAAAAAAACAAAGATGAGAAAACCGAATATCAAGATACCCCAGTTCCAGGAGAACAATAGAAATCACACAAAAAAAAAAATCAAAGGAGAAAATCATACCAGTTGAATCAAGTTGCAAGGCTTTGATGTCGTCCTCAATATCTAAAAATATCATAAAAATCGAAACAAAAAAAGATAAGGACGAATTCATCATCCGAAAACCGATGAAATGATGAAATGAATCAAGCAAGAAAGAAATTCATTCATACCCGAGGGAGGAAGTGTGTGACCCAATTCCGACATGATTTATGAAATTAGCAAAAAATCACAATCATACAAGACGGAATTCGGTTGGATTAAAATCCGATGAATTCCTGGCAGCGGCGGCGGAGAAGAAATCGAGATACGGTGAACGCAATTTGGGGTTTTGCGGCGATAGGTATTCGGATAAAGAAGCCCGGCCTGTGCTGATTATCTATGGGCCGCCAGCCCAATCCTTTCAATTAAAAGTATTTAAGGTTGGGCCTGCCAACAAACTTTGTGTTTTTCTAATCATTAACTATAAATTATATATTATAAATAAATATTTCACAATCAATCATATCTGAATCTGATATATGATAATCATGTTACTAGTTTTCAAAAAAGTGCGTGTTAAAATATTTTTCTCTCTAACCATTTTCTCTCATCACTTTAGTTTCTCAAAATCATTCAAAATCATTTTTCTTGACATAATTATCATTAAAAACAATTTTAAATTAGTTATTAATTTATTTTTATAAATCAATTATTAAAAAAATTATTCAATATTTAATAAATATTTTAATTATTGTTTTAAAACGTTAATAACATTAGTTAAATATTTAATTAACAATAATTAAATATTTAAGAAGATAATCAATCAATTAAAAAAGAAAAATCTAACCCATAAATCAATCCCGGCCGCCCAACACCCCCACCCCCTTTCTGCATCCATAGCAGCAATACCACAGTTGCTTCTCAGTTCTCACATATTCTCAAAGTATTCCATTAATTTGGAATATAATTACAAAGATTTAGGGTGTCTATCTTAAAAAAAATTATAATAATTACAAACATTATAGGAGTTTGCAACAATTAAATATTTATTTTGAAAATAATTAGTGTTCATGTTACTACAATAATCATATATCATTGATTCTATTTTTTCTTGTGTTCATTCAGTTCTTGTAATACATCTAAAATTAATAATAAAAAAATCATGGATTGTTCATCATGTATAATAATTTAGTTTGCATTAATTAATGAGATAAAATAATTGCACAAATTAAAGACAAAGGAAGGAATATAAGAAAAAATGTAAATGAAGGATCGATATTATTGAAATGGTAATTTTATTTATTTTATTTAATAATAATAATAATGGTGCATATGCATATGCATTACATGAATGAATAATGAAGATAAATTAAAAGAAAAGATTCTTATGGGATGCAACTAAGCGATTAACAAGAGCGAGAAGATTGGTGCAACGATCAATAGACAGTTGATTACGGGCCTTGATGTCAGCAGGCTCACTACCAATTGGTAAGAAATTGCGATCAATTGATTTAACTTGTAGCAAAGCAGTGGATGCTAGTGAAGGCAAGATCTTATAGTTACCAATCTGCAGATAATTTAGGGACTGAACAAGAGCCTTGATAGCTATGCGGTACTGTACTTCACATTTTTGGAATTGTTGCTCAAGTACAGGATCTCCTGATACGATTGCCTCTATTTTACGTTCATGAATTATATCTTTGGTGGTAATCAAAAACATTTCCGTGGATTGAATGGTGTGATTCGTCACATCGAGTAAGCTGGTTGGGGTAGGTGGACTAGCACTAGGTGGTATTTCGATGATTACGGCTGATGAAGGCAATGCACTTAGTGAGACAAATGTGAAGACAACAAGAAACAACAAGTAAATATTGTTATATGAAGAAGAAGACGCCATTTTTTTTTCTTTGAGATGAGAATGTTTTAGTGGTGGTGGTGGTACTTGCTAGTTTTTTGTCCATATTTATAGGTTTTTTGGAGTCAAAGAACAAAATCAAGGAGCATAATGCGATTATTAATTAGGAGAATTTGCATTTATTCAATTTATTTTATTCCTAATTTACAGGGATGTAATCATCATATGTAAGAAGATAATAAATATTAAATAACCCGGACCTGGTGCCCACAAGGAACCAATCTCATTGGAGTTGAAATTCCCACACTGCGGCTGCCAGGATTCGATCCTAGGACCTTGCTCCAACTTACCACCTCCGGAACCAGTTGAGCTACACCCATGCGGGCTATTAAGTGAATATCTTGAACCATTGACTAATGTCCAGATTAAGTGAATATCTATTATCATTGACTATTTTGGTCAAAATACACACACACACGCGCATACACACACACACACACACGGAAAACACTCATTTTTTGTGCCTGCACTGAAAATAAAATATGTAAATATCCATTCCTGATGAAGTTTCGGAATTTTCCCATAAATTGCTGATAATGTTTTTTTTTTTTCAATACTGGCTTTGCATTTTATTGATATATCATCTGTTGAATGAATCATTCTAAGTAATGGAGATACTCTTTGCTGATATATTATGTGCTATAATAAAAAAAACACTACAAAGGCAACTCAACTTTTCATTTTCTTGTTTAAGTTTCTTCGGCTCGAATACCGGTTTACGAAACTGCTGCTGACAAGTACTCAGTTGTGTTAGAGCACCTTTTATGTTCTTTTCCACACCACCAGCATCACTATTTTTGAAGCTTTGTTTGGCTTGTACTACGTAACTGTAGATGAATGTGTAATATACCCAACAATTTTTGTATTTCTCTTGTATATGTTGATTGTTCTTTACTCTTTCGAGTGAATTCAGTAAATTGATAGTTGAGTCAGCACATGCTATGGCCATGTCATACACCATTTCTCCAATTGGATTTCAAAGTTTTTGAGCAAATTTGAGAATTGTTTGTCTTTTTGCAGAATTCATTGATGAGATCATTTGATGGAGCTGCACTGATATTGCTACTCGGTATAGATATCATCAGAAAATAAATAATTACAAGTTTCAATATTGATATTGCCATTAAAGGATATGAAGTTTGGTAGTACATATATAATTCGATGTCGTTAAATATATAGGATTCTGAATGATGTCCGAAATTGTTAAAGTCGGTAATAAAGCTGCGTTGAAGCTAATGATGATTTAAATAGACTTCATTTATCATGTTAAATGGCAAAGAGCAATTATTGTTAATGTTATCTATCTTTTTGGTTGATTGAGCAGTCAATTTGGCCAAGTCCATTGAGATTTTCCGGAGAAGATCTACGATTTGATATTATTTGTTTTTTTGCTTTCTCAATAGCCATATATATAGTTCATCACACTAGTGCAGAATGGTGGTCATTCAGAAATGGAATTCTCAATTTTCACTTATATAAATCAAGCACATAGTAATACATGCTCAGATATAGATTCGATATCATACATTATTTGGAAAAAATAAAATTAAATAATGAGAGATGAGTCCCGATACTAAATCCAAGTTACGGCGTTAGAAAGTGCAGGCAGACGTGATAGGCCCATATATCACACAATTAATTAACCCAATTAAAAGGGTATTAACAGAAAGTGAGAAAATTTTATTTCGCATCTCAAAGCACGAATCTTTATAATAAGCTCCAAAAATGTACACATATTCATGGTTTTATTATTACTTAATAATAAATCTTCATCAGAAGAGCATTTAACTCGAAAGTGAAATCATTGTTGATCACAGCCAAACAAACTATGCTAGCTAGTTTGAGTCTTGAAACTCTCAAAACACCAACTCAAAACTCATTAAATAAAAAATGTTTATTACCTTTCTAAATGTGAATGGGCTTGTCATAGGTAGCCATGGCAGCCTCCTTCAACGCCTCACTCATTGTCGGATGAGCATGGCATGTGCGAGCAATGTCTTCACTAGATGCTCCGTAATGCAATGCCAAAACAGCCTCGTGTATAAGCTCCCCTGCATTTGGTGACATAATGTGAACACCCAAAATCCTGTCTGTTTCTTTCTCAGCAAGTATCTTCACAATTCCCTCAGCATCGTCAATTGCCTTTGCCCTGCTATTGGCCAAGAAAGGGAACTTGCCCACGCGATATTCAACTCCTAGCGCTTTCACCTGCTCCTCGGTTTTCCCTACAGATGCCACCTCCGGGTGTGTGTACACAACCCCAGGTACCAAATCGTAGTCCACATGGCCTTGCTTGCCAGCAATATACTCCACGCACGCAACACCATCCTCCTCAGCCTTGTGAGCCAACATTGGCCCAGGAATGACATCACCAATGGCATATACACCTTGTACATTTGTGGCAAACCGATCATTCACCAAAATCCGACCAGCCTTGTCGGTTTCAACTCCTATCTTATCCAATTGGAGCCCAGATGTAAATGGAGTTCTACCGGCAGAAACAAGAACAACATCGGCCTCGAGGGTGGTCTGATCACCACCAGCTGCTGGTTCGAGGGTCAGCTTTACACCATTGCCAGTGCTGTCAACAGAAACGACCTTTGTTTTAAGCATGAATTTCATCTTTTGCTTCTCGAGGGAGCGTTGAAATTGTTTCCGGATTTCACCGTCCATGGTTGGAACAATGTCTGATGCAAACTCGACAACTGTCACTTCTGACCCTAGGCGACCCCACACAGAGCCCATCTCAAGACCAATATAGCCAGCACCTATAACTACGAGTTTCTTTGGGATTTCTTTCAAGGCTAAAGCACCGGTAGATGATACGATTCTCTCTTCATCAATGGTTATACCAGGTAGGCCTTTGACATCAGAGCCAGTAGCTATAATGATGTTCTTCCCTTTCACGATCGTGTTACCACCTTCTAGAGTATCAACTGAAATTTCAGAAGGGGAAAGGAACTTGCCATACCCCTTGACATAGGTGACCTTGTTCTTCTTCAATAGACCCTCAATACCTTTAGTCAAGTTACCGACAGCTTTATCTTTTTGGGCCATCATGGCCGGTAGATCAACCTCAACACCAGCAATCTTCACACCATGACTGGCAAATGAATGCTTAGCTTCATGATACATATGAGACGAATGAAGCAATGCCTGAAAATGTAAACAATGAGCAAAACTGAAGACATGGAAGCCCGAGCGACATCTTTGAAATCTTATCAGATACCTAAATGGCTAACAGATAGTTTGAACTCTTTTGTAACTTTCACTAAGCAATAAAATAATGAGAATCATACATGTCAAACAGATAGTTAAAACAAACTCCTGAAACACATTAGTTTCTTTTTTCAAAGACTCTTATGTCATACAGAAGCAACTGAAGCTAACTTGTTTGAGATCAAACTTTCTTAAACACTACATGATATTCAATTACCATCCTAACATATTCCGTTACCACCAGCTAGCCCTCAAAATCATTTAGGTAATCATTCAATTTAGGGCAACACAATCATGATTCACTTGCTCATCACCAAATCAAATTTTCATTTGCTACCATTTTCAATTACAATTAGAAAAAAGCATAAAGTAGAAGACGCAATTCCAGTACCAATATAAGCAGTAAGAATGAAAATCCTCACAAGAGCAGTTCGTACCTCCTACTACTAGATGTATCATTGAAGACCCAGTAATACACACTCAGAAGTCAGAACACATACAATAAAATACGACCAATCTTAAATCATAAAAAAAAAAAAAAAGCAAAACAGATGTAGTAAATTATTGGAGAAGACGAGGATACCTTGGAAGGAATGCAACCAACGTTGAGGCAAGTACCGCCGAGAGCTCCGCGCTTCTCGATGCACGTGGTTTTGAGGCCGAGCTGTGCCGCCTTGATAGCGGCGACGTAACCACCGGGCCCGCCGCCTATGACGACGACATCGTTTTCATCAGATCCAGAAGCGAATCCCCTGCTAAAAATCGAAGAGTATTTGGTGTTGTGGGAAAGATGCTTTGATGATGATGAAAAGAGAGCGGTGGATTTTCGCCGAGCGATATTCGCCATCGCCATTTCTCCGAAATTCGCTTCCGATAATTAGCTCTGGTCTCTAGTCTCTTGCCTTTTGGAGAAGGTGGCCCGTGGCCGACTTGAAACCATTATTTATATTTCCAACAAATGATCTAATCTTTTTTTTTTTTTTTTAATTTATTTCAAAGGATCCAAAAAAAAAAAATAGAAAAAGAAAGTCAATCTGAACCATTGAAAATCAAATCAAGGTCCCCAATTTGGATTTGAGTTGTTAATCAATTGTTCTAATTAACAAATACAGCGATTTATTTTAATAAGTATAAAGTATTTACATTCATTAAGAAATTTAAAACAAGACAACATAATAATAGTGGCTCAAAGGGCTGATGACCATAAAGAGGAATCAAAAGCCAAAACAATGATTTGTAACAAACAAATAAATAAGGCAATGAATATATGCAAGACTAAAATTACTAAGTGTAAGACCTTACTTGATGCAAGACCAAAATATAAATAAATTTACTAAGAGCAAGACTGCAAATTACAAATATAACCCCAATATTGATTTTGATACTATTCATTTAAATTACACATAATTACTATTGCAAGACCAAAAAGTTAAAAAAAATAAAAGGAAAAAAATAAAATAAAATAAAATAAAGGAGAAATTGAAAAAATGAGAGAGAGGAATGTTGTAGAGGAAGAAGAGAGGAACACAAGACGAGAAGAATCGACGCCGCCCATCCGCTGCCGAAGAATTGTCGCCGCCCATCCGCCGCCGAAAAATTGCCGCCGCCCAACCGCGGGTGCTTGAAAAGGAAGAGAAGAAGAATATGGAGGGAGGAGGAAAGAGGAAGGAGGAGTATGAGAAGAAGAAGAAGAAGAAGAAGAAGAAGAAGAAGAAGAAGAAGGAAATTCGACATCTACATGTTGATTTTTTAGTGAAAAATCGACATATAATCGATTTTTTTGGCAAAAATCTAGGTATTAATATTTTGGCGAAAAATCGACATGCAGTCGCAGATGTTGAATTTTGTCACAAAAATCGACATCTACATGTCGAATTTTGTGACAAAAATCGACATCTACATG